GAAACTGGATCCGACGAAACTGGATTTCCACGTAACTCAACATGCAAAACGGAGAAGAGGTGAGTTATCTATTCATATGTTGTCTCGCGAAGAAAGTGATTCTCAGGAAACTGGACCCGACGAAACTGGATTTCCACGTAACTCAACATGTAAAACTGAGAAGAGGTGAGTTATCTATTCATATGTTGTCTTGTGAAAAAAGTGATTCTCAGGAAACTGGACCCGACGAAACTGGATTTCCACGTAACTCAACATGCAAAACGGAGAAGAGGTGAGTTATCTATTCATATGTTGTCTCGCGAAGAAAGTGATTATCAGGAAACTGGACCCGACGAAACTGGATTTCCACGTAACTCAACAAGCAAAACGTATCAGAGGTTAGTTTTGTGTTCTTACGCAGGTTGTGAAGATAGTTATTCTCAGGAAACTAGGCCCTATGAAATTGAATCGTAAATGAGTTTTGTGTTCTTATTATTATATAATGTAAAGGTAAAATGTGGAAAATAATAATTTTTTCTATCTGAACATAATTTATAAGCACTTTTCTACATTTGTATAATAAACCTCCTAAACTCTTTTTGATTTTTAGAAAATTATTATTTCTTTTTCCTTTTTTCACAAAAATGTGTTAATATAAACTTTTTGGATCTGGAAATTCAATACCGTTTTTGTTGAGAGTATACAAACTTTCATAGATGACGAAAATGTAAAAAAAAAAATGCTCCCAAAATCTGTTTGTTTGTAGTTAAGCACAAAGCTACACAATCGGCTATCTGTGTTGTGCCCACACCGAGTATCGAATCCTGGTTTTCTAGTACTATAATTCCGCAAACTTACCGCTGTGCCACTGGGGGAGGGGTTGCTCTAATGATTTGTTTGTTTATAGTTAAGCACAAAGCTACACAATGGGCTATCTGTGCTCTGCCCACCACCAGAATCGAAACCCGGATTCTAGCGTTGTAAGTCTAGAGACATACCGCTGTGCCATTGGGGGGCCCACTCCAATGAAGTAAAATATTTTCAAAAATCATTATTGAGTTCTTACAGGTATTGTTCACTATTATTCATAAATATAACACGTACTTTAATACACATAAAAGATGCTCATTATTTTCAATATTTAATACATATGAAATTATTTTTCTTTGACATATTTTATAAAATATAAGTGTTAAGTACGTTTTAGAAAAAAAAAATTCAGAGCCACATCTCATCGATATAGTCCTCACGTTCACTCCTGATTTATCTGACGACCGAAAATCTTGACAATAGCTCTGCATTGTAATTTCCATTGCTCCGTTTTAAGACAATCATGTCCCTAACACACCATTGCTCCTTTTTCCTTTCCATAATACATCTAGCGGGCGAGGAAAACGGTTTCCCAGCTCTATGTGTATGATCTGAGTATAGTTTTAGTATAAAGAGGGTTGGGTGCGTTATATTTAAACGATTTTGAACATTCAAATCACCAAGTTACTGGCAACCACAAATAATATAAAGTCGCGGTGAAACGAAATGTATCAGAACTACCTTTTGACATTGTTTGACGTTTCGTAAGTTGTGTGATACCGTCAAAAATTGATTGCTTTTGTAAAGGTTATGAAACAGCCTTTTTGTGACGAAAAATATTTACATACTCAGACATAAAGATGTGTTCATATCAGGGATTTAAAATTTCCAAGATGTGGTATCCCTTAATGGCATTCAAAAACCAAGGAATACAGATCAACTTGGGAATATACATAAAAAGTCCTGGAATTAGCTGTGGTAAGTAGAATTGTAACAGATGTTCATGTGTTGCGGGCAACAGTACGTAACGTAATTAAGAAGCAGCACAAGTCACATGTACACTTACATGACATATGTATTCAAGTGTCCCATAACTTATAGCTGGAGTATGCATGCTACTCCAAACAAGAACATACCAGACTGGACGCAGCACCTACTGATCATTAAGTGATCGGACTAATAAAAATAGGTGCCGAGAAACCATCGTCCTCGTAAACAAAGCAGAATATGGCAGGTCCACAGAGAGGAGTAGCGTGCTTTAGCCATTCCGGAGCCTTTTGCCGCTGAGCTATTATTATGATGCATCATCAGATAGAACATGAGCAGACGCGGTGAAATAGGGTCAGGTTCCAAAATCATTTCTAATATAACATACTCAATCTATCTCATAATGTAATACAGATAATGTAATACAGAGGGTGAGTATGTTAATCATAATATCTCATAATGTAATACAGAGGGTGAGTATGTTAATCATAAAAATCTCACCTGACTTGTTGTTTCTCTCTTACTATCAGGCTGCCTTGTAACTGGTGTTGAACCATTCTTGTTTTGAGCTTCAAAGAAACTACTGTAAAGAGAGAATTGATTATCTGCTATACTTTAGTTAATTAACCACAAACAAGTGATTCATTGGATAAAACTAAATAGTCATTAGTAATGTTTTTACAGAGAATAGTTAATTACCATAAACAAGTTTTCATTTAAAATCTTTTAAAAATAATAAAAATCAAATCTTTCAATTAGAGATATGCTACTAAGTTAGGGAGATATTTTCGAAAATGAAAGCATAATATCTCCTAAAGTAATACAGAGGGTGAGTATGTTAATCATAATATCTCATAATGTAATACAGAGGGTGAGTATGTTAATCCTGATATCTCCTTTGTACATGAAATCATGTTGGTTTTATAAATTTTGGAAGTATTAATAACGGTTTGGTTTATTGTGCATGAAATCATGTTGGTTATATTTTTTGGAGGTATTAGTGATGGTAAAGTGTATTGAGTATGAAATCGTGTTAGTTATATATTTTGGAAGTATTAGTAACAGTTTGGTTTATTGTGCATGAAATCATGTTGGTTATATTTTTTGGAAGTATTAGTGATGGTAAAGTGTATTGAGTATGAAACCAAGTTGGTTATATATAGGTGATGGTTAGGTTTATTAGGTGTAATGAAGAGGGAGATATTTTAATTTTTATGTCTTGGTCAATCAAAGTGAACAATCAATTGACACTTTCATGAATATTTTAATGATCATGTCTATAGTATGTTTGAATGTATTGATTTGACAAGTATTATGGTTTTAAAACCTGTTAGACAACCAGGAGCGTTCAGAAACTGCTATTTCTCTTCACCCCGCTCGAAAAATTAACTAAAGTGAATAAAACTTTAAAGTGACCAACTTGAGTTTAATAAACGGTGAGGTGTGAATGTTATCTCGCGGGAATGTTGATAAGCGTGCGTGGCGCGAATATGCACAAAGCATAACTAATTGAGAGCCTCATGACGACCAGGAAATTTGTGAATACTAAATGCAGGAAGTTCGAGACAAGAAAAGCGTAACCCGTTTTTAGTACGTATCATTTCATATTTATATCTTAATAGACCTGAACAAGAGATATCTTCATGAGATTGTAGTGGCTAGTAGCTCTTCTTAGAGGTAAGGAGGATATAGATACTTTATAAAGTTTATATTATAACTTTTAATGGCTGGAGACGGCTTGAATGGGTAATGAAGAAAAACATCAGATGATGACAAAACCTTGTCGAAACGTTGTACATTTGCTGTTATGTTAAACTTATATTAAAGTTTTTCTTCATTACCCATTCAAGCCGTCTCCAGCCATTATTAGTCTCAAAGTGGGTTCCTCGTCATCGAATTTGAAAATATTATAACTTTCTTAAGCAAATGATGGCTTCGTGAAGGTTTTGATGGTTATTATATGTATTTGGGGATAACGAAATTTAGATTTCTCATGATTTAACCTAAAACAACTCATATTGCGTTGAGTTTGGTTTTAATCAAGATTAAAATGTTCATTTTTCAGATTCCTAGATCTGAAACTGATAAGTTTAATAGTGGCGTGCTCTGTAGAATTTATGATGATGAAGAAGATGATCATGAAACCAACCATGGAACAGACATCTCGACAGCTCGTAGAAGAAAGAAGAATAACCTAAATGGAACAGGTTATTAATGGCATTTTTAAATCTAAATCTAAATGGAACAGGTTATTCATGACATATTGAAATCTAAACCAAAATGGAACAAGTTAATCATAACATATTTAAATCTAAACATAAATGGAACAGGTTAATCATGACACATTTAAATATAAATATAAAATGTTAAACCAGATCGAAAAAGATGTTTCTTGAAAGATACAAGTGCCTTCCCCATCAGTATACGACTATTATGCAAGCTGCTGCAGTCGTACATTTTATGTCTCTTACTTGAAGGACTAAGTGGTGTAAACTTTATTTACAACATGTAATTACATAACGATTCTTAATTATTATGGTATCACATATACTGTTTAACCTCTAAACATTTTTAAATTTCAGGAAGCTGTCTTCGGGATCAAGAGAAACAAGACAGGGTCCTAGCAACACGAGTTTCGGTACATTCTTTATTCATTTACTTGTTAAGTGATTCATGATAATAAATAGTGATTTGAAAATGAAATCTTACTGAGTTTCAATAATTTATTTATTTACTGAGTTAGCTAGATAAAAATATAATGGTTGACTGAAAGTACTATTCAAACAAAAATTTCAATTCTTGAATAACTACATTGAATTAGAAGTTCTGAATTTCAATTGCATATTTTGTTAATTTATTCATTTTGACGCTTGGAAGAGAATTTTCAGAAACATCTTACAAATGTTTCTGAATTTTAATGTTGTATTTTATATGTAAGCCACAGAAATCTAATGAAGAATATATTGAGTTAATTTATTGATCATATTTAATTGATTTATGTTTATTTGATTTGTTGATTATTTAGTTCATTTGTTGATTATGTTTAGTTAGTTTTATTAACCAATTTTGTTATTGTACTAATCACACTATAATATCCTAAAGTTGTTTAATTAACCCATTTTGTTATTGTACTAATCACACTATAATATCCTATAGTTGTTTATTGACACACTTTATTATTGTACTAGTCACACTTTAATAGCTGTAATCCACAATATGTTGTTTTATTAACCCATTTTGTTATTGTACTAATCACACTATAATATCCTAAAGTTGTTTTATTAACCAATTTTGTTATTGTACTAGTCTCACTTTAATAGCTGTAATCCACAATATGTTGTTTTATTAACCCATTTTGTTATTGTACTAATCACACTATAATATCCTAAAGTTGTTTCATTAACCCATTTTGTTATTGTACTAGTCACACTATAATAGCTGTAATCCACAATATGTTGTTTTATTAACCCATTTTGTTATTGTACTAATCACACTATAATATCCTATTGTTGTTTATTGACACACTTTATTATTGTACTAATCAAGCTTTAATAGCTTTAATCCACAATATGTTGTTTTATTAACCAATTTTGTTATTGTACTAATCAAACTTTACCTGTTGTAAAAATAGCATGATTATACCTGTAAGGTGGTGTGCTACAAATGCTTCTTTTGGTCATCTTGGATGTAATGTCACCATAACTCCAATAGACAGTAAGAAGTGAGGAAAAAACAAGAGAATCACAGTTTTTATTGAAAAATACCCCCCCCCCCCAAAAAAAAACATTTAATATTTCAAACGTAAATAATTGTGATTAAACACGAAAGAATGATTATTAAATGTAGATATCAAATTGAAAGGGTCAGGAACTTTAACCAGTGCTAAAGTACAAGAAAAGTCCTCACTAAAGGAAATAAAATAACTTTGTGTTTTACTGCAGGAAAAATGGAAAAAACGGGAAGGGGTTTCGAAAAGCAAGAACCTTATGCCCGACCTTATGGAAACTTCAGAAACAGAATCGGCGAAGGGTAGCGCAAGTGGGAGTATGGAGAGTGAAACTGCTGATCTACCTGGTACAGATGTAATTATTCCACCTCCAGGTGGCACTGATCCTTCATTTCCCAGTAATTCCGATGGCTTCTTAAGGCGACTTGGTCTACACAAAGATAGTCTTATAAGGTAACAAAACAATTGTTACGTGTCTCAACAGCTAACCAAACAAGTCATGCATATCTCACTAGGCAACTAAACAACTGATACAGATTTCACCATGTAACCAAACAAGTCATGCATATCTCACTAGGCAACTAAACAACTGATGCAGATTTCACCATGTAACCAAACAAGTCATGCATATCTCACTAGGCAACTAAACAACTGATGCAGATTTCACCATGTAACCAAACAAGTCATGCATATCTCACTAGGCAACTAAACAACTGATACAGATTTCACCATGTAACCAAACAAGTCATGCATATCTCACCAGATAATCAAACAAGTTACACATATCTTAACAGGTGACTATAGAAGTGAAGCATATTCACACATCTAGGGCCCACCAGAATTTCTTATAGACGTTGATATGTTTAGAGTTATAAATTTATTATAATAACATTACTGAAATATGTCCATTAAGGTTTATGATAAACGTTCAGTCGTTTATACAGTTAGAGAATGATTATTGTAAAATGTATTGAAAATATATTTTGACTCATTTGAGTTTCTGATAAATTTCTAGCATCTAGGTCTACCATCGAACTTAAATATATTCTACTCTTTAATATTTTATTATAAGATTGATACGTTACGTCCATATTAAAGTTTACTTTCAGGAATAACTGAGTAATCTTATTCAGGATCTTTACTAAACCAACAAACATCACTTAGGATATGGAGAGTTTAATAGTATAAAATAATATAAAACAGACGTAAGTTTAGTTTTAGTTGAGCCAGTTTCAGCAAATTCAAATAGCATATCAATAGTATATAAAGGACTTCAAGCTTTTTAATATAATTAAATTCTCTTCAGCGAAGAAAAACATGGAATTATACAAAAGTTTTTAAATTGTATGTTTTCATATTTACTGGATGTTCTTTACTTGTTTCAGCAATGATTCTCTTACAGAACAGGAAATTGAGGTAAGAAGACCTGAACTCTATTTCCATTTCTATCTATCAGTATAGAAACAAACTACTTCCGTTTCGTTCTATAAGTATAGACACAAACTATTTCCGTTTCTTTCTATTAGTATAGAAACAAACTACTTCCGTTTCTTTCTATCAGTATAGACACAAACTATTTCCGTTTCTTTCTATTAGTATAGAAACAAACTACTTCCGTTTCTTTCTATCAGTATAGACACAAACTATTTCCGTTTCTTTCTATAAGTATAGAAACAAATTACTTCCGTTTCTTTCTATCAGTATAGACACAAACTATTTCCGTTTATTTCTATCAGTATAGAAACAAACTACTTCCGTTTCTTTCTATCAGTATGGAAACAAGCTATTTCCGTTTCTTTCTATAAGTATAGACACAAACTATTTCCATTTCTATCTATCAGTATAGAAACAAACTACTTCCGTTTCTTTCTATAAGTATAGACACAAACTATTTCCGTTTATTTCTATCAGTATAGAAACAAACTACTTCCGTTTCTTTCTATAAGTATAGACACAAACTATTTCCATTTCTATCTATCAGTATAGAAACAAACTACTTCCGTTTCTTTCTATCAGTATGGAAACAAGCTATTTCCGTTTCTTTCTATCAGTATAGGCACAAACTACTTCCGTTTCTTTCTATCAGTATTTCTTTCGTTGTATTCTGTTGCCTGATTAAGTTAGGTTAAATTTAGTATCTTTTGAAGCTTGGTTTTATAACAATATGCTTATATTTATTGTTTGTTTACTGGTGATTAGTTTGTGTTTAATGTATTCTAACCAAGGGTGAATTATACCTTTTTTATGTGCATTACGTATGCCACTTGAACTCTTGTACATTGATTAATACTTTGCTTTAATCTTTATCTGCTCTTATTATTGCACGTAATTACTGATAACAAATATAACTCATTATTTTTAAATTCATCCTTCACTGAATGCTGTCAGTGTCTCAATTAAAAAATAAATCATATATTTATATTCCACCTAAATATTTCGTTAATTGGTTCAATACCTACTATAAGCAGAACGATAAACATGAACGTGTTGTTTTCATGAGTAACATAAGGTATTGACAGCAGAAAGAGCAGTAATTTGATCAGCAACTTACCTATTGACAATAGAAAGGCGATCATGATCATTAGTTTTGCTTGTTGACGGCAGAAAGAAGACCGTGTGTTTATGACCAGCAACTTTATCAGTTGGCAGCAGAAAGAAAAGCGTGTTGCTTTGATTGCAACTTTACCTATTGACAGATTTACCTATTGGAAAGATGGGATTTGATTATTACTCATTGTCAAAGCAGGGTGTCCATAAATTATCTGATACTCTATCTCACTCCAGGTGTTGTTCAGCATCTTGGGAGTCGCATTTTTTATTGCATCGATTATTCTGTGACGAAGATCCACGATATCAGGCATAGCTGTCAAATATATCTGATCTTTCGCAACCCTCACAAGAAAACATCCAACGAGGTTATGTCAGAGTAACGTTCGGGGGGGGGGCATCGTGTTGTCCATCTCTACTAATACATGTGTCTGGGAATGTGTTATTCAGGAACTCCAGTATGGTGGAGCACCGTCTTGTTGAAAATTAACATGAGGCAGATTTTCAACTGGGACTGGGACAAAAAACAACTGAAACATGTCTAGGTAAGTTGTCCCAATCACATAAGGCAGATTTTCAACTGGGACAACAAACAGTTGAAACATGTCTAGGTAAGTTGTCCCAATCACATAAGGCAGATTTTCAACTGGGACAACAAACAGTTGAAACATGTCTAGGTAAGTTGTCCCAGTCACATAAG